GGTTCCATGGAGATTGAACCTCATTGAACAAAGCTTATACTTTTTCATCATGAACCCTAAAAAATGATGCCTTGCTTCTGCTTTACATAGAATCCGATCTTTGGATAAAATGTTCCACCGTTTGCAAGTGGATCGTACTGCTCCTAGAGAAGTTATCGGAACCCTACACAGTATCTCCTCTACTAAATCCTGCAAAAGATCACTCATCATCGTCATTGTTTCAAATATAAATTTGGGTTATCTTGCTTGCCCACTCTGGTATATATCTTCTTATTATATAAAGCTTAACTCATAAGATCATGAGTGTCAAGTTCTATTTATAAGATTTTGACATGTGTGAAAAGGAATTATTTAAATTAAAATGAAAATTATATAGTAAATTAAAAATCATAAAAATAAAAGGATTGCACAATTACTTTCTTTAAGAAGGTATATGAAATAAAATAATATAGTAAATAACTAATCCTGAAAATATATAGTATTAAAAAAATAAAAGTATACATAAAAATAAAATTAAAGCATAGAATCTTATTATATTACTGTTGGTGTTTAAAATTTAGTAATTAATTACCATGATTGCTATATGTGTCAATCAATTGATGAGATTTTGATTCATGTAATGAGATTTTGATACATGTAAAAAGCTTCTCCCAATTAGATTTTGACACAGATTAACACAAAAATGAAACTTACAAATTTTTAACATAAAAACATATTTATTAAAGTATATAATTAAGAAGTATATAATTCAGTCAAAATAAAATTTTATAAAAAGGGAAAAAACTTATTAAAAAGGGAAAATGTAAAAATTAATTACAATAATATTTTTGAAAAATATATATTAAAAGGGAATATAACATAATATATATATTTAAAGTAAAAAATCTTATTATATATAACGTGATATTTCAAATTTAGTACTCCCTCCGTTTTCGAATAGTTGTCGTTTTAACTATATGCACACAAATTAAGAAACTATTAATGTTGTTTGTTTTTCAATATAATAATATCATTAATTATCTACCTAAACATAATTTAACCAATAGTAAATCAAGTTGCATAATAAAAATAAATATAAAAAATAAAAAAGTAATAAATTTTGCATCGAAAACTGAAAACGACAACTAATTAAAAACAAAAATTTTTCTCTAAAACGACAACTATTCAAAAACGGAGGGAGTAATTAACATGATCTTGTGACATTTACTGAATTATCAAAGATTTATATATCACCGTGTTTATAATTTTCTATTTTGTTTAATTTTGTTTTCTAAATTATTTATTTTGATTTTTTACGTTCATATTTAAATTATATAAGATTTATCATATATCATAGTGCTAATAATTTTAGATTGCTACATGTGTCAGGATATAATTTAAAATTTCACTCTAAATATTCCAATTTGATTTTCTAACTAGAAATATAGGTGATGATTAAAATAAATGTGTATATTGTTTTTGAATTTCTCTTTTCAGTTAGTAAGTAAGATCAATGTAGAGTATGATGGGAAGTGTTGTTGTGGAATCAATAGTAAGTATTATATCGTCAACTTGAACATTAGGACAATCATTACATTAAATTTGATTGGTATACTGGGTTAAACTGAGACCATCTCCAATGTATTTATCTATTTTTACCTCTATCTCTATAATAGAGGTGAATTTTCTCTATTTTTACTTCAATGTGTTCTTCTATTTTTTCCTCTAAAATTTTTTAACTCTATTTATAGAGAAAGAAATAGGGATCCTCTATATATAGAGCAAGAAATAGAGATCTCTATTTTAGAGGTGTGAATAGAGGTGTGTTGGGGTAGATTTGCCTCTAAAATAGAGTTTAGAGACAAATATAGAGGTGAGTTGGAGATGCTCTGAGACTTAGTTTCTGATTTCTGCAATTTTATGTTTTTAATTATAAGCTGGTACAAATTTCAAGATATTAGCTTTGCCATATCCCCACATAATGATAGGCAAGGAGTTTGGTCATTTTCTAGACAGATCAGATTAACAAAAAGTAGGTTAATGTGATACTAGCATTTATTATTTGATATTACTGGTCCTCGTCTTCAGGGAGTAAACCATGCGGCATTACTTGGTCATTAGGGTCAATTGAAATGTGGGCTTCTCAGTTACCTTCACGTTTGGGAACTTCTACTCGAGAATCTAATAAATATTCAAGAATTAATCTTTATAAGGCAGACAGGTAAAAATGGTTGCAGAGAATTGAAACTAACCACCATTTCACTAATTGCAAAACCCTTTTTGGTCGATGTAATGAGAATTCCTGAAGAGCTAGACGTTTGCTTGACCGGGAAAGAAAAAGTAAACGCAAACAGAACCTGCAAATCAAGTTAGCAGTAATCCTGTGAGCAATTAAATTCTCGGATTATAAAGAACCGATCTTGGAGTAGAACAATGTTGGCTAGAGCATTGTCACCTCGCTGGTTTCTCTAATCATCATCAAACATGTTGGTATGCCATGCCTTTCAACTTCTTGAACTTAAAAGAGATGATCTTTGACCACCAAGATGAAACCCTTATTATTGTAAAGTAAGAGCCTCTAAGATGAAGGGCATTACAGCAACATGCTTACATTGTGACAGTCAAATAACACAATAAAACCTTCAACTTCACGAAACTAGCGAAATCAAGAATTTAAAATGCAGTAACCAAGTAAATCCTGGTATGTCATTTAACCTTCCATACGTTGCTCCATCATGTCACCAAATCCCATACAAGCTAAAAGGAAGATATGTTAAAAACCACCCTAATGAACAAGCAAAGCATTGGGATATGTTAATATATCTCACCAAAATTGTGAAGATCATCAACGAAAGAGAACAGCATCAACATTTTAAGCTTTCAGAGACCAAACCAGCTAATTGCAATTTTTCCCATCTCACACCTTACTCCACTTCCTCCTCTGTTTCATCCTCCTTCTCACCAACACCGTCGGCACAGAACAAGGCACCACCAGAGCGATAAATGACAACAAATGTCGGATGGAATTTGGCAGAGTCAGAATAAGAACATTTGTATATTTTTTGTCAAGCTAAAACTGTGTAACTAAACAAAATAGAAACAAAATAATGATATATGATTGGTCTTCTTCACAGGGACATTGCAAAAAGAAAAACAAAAAAAAACGAATGAAAAGAGATGAGAGCTTATAAATTAATTAATAATGAGCCTTCTTCTTCTTTGTTCTTGTTGGTTCGCCTCCTCCTCTTCTTCTCTTTCCTTTTTGAATCCTGCAGTTTGGTTGATCTTCACTAAACTAGGAACATAAGAGCAAGAAGTCACAAGTGGGCAGCAATTCTCAAAGTGGCTGAAGTTGAGAGCTCCTGGTATGTGAGGCACAGCTTCTCCAAGATGCACTTTTCTAACGTAGCCATTATCTCCAATGATGTAAGCTGCGTCCTCGTGGCGGGTCACTTCAGATTCGTCAAAGTGAATAACCACGGCGACTTTCTTCTCCTTGTCAATGAAGAAACTACCACCGTCACAGCGAAACATAAAATCAAAACCGTAGTGAGGTTCCATATCAACTTTTAAGAAAGGGATCCACAACACTGCATTGGGCTCAATCATAGTTGTAACCCAAATCTCCACCTCTGATCTATGTTCGCTCTGATATAACGCGGCGAGTTTCTCGTCTCTAAGAGAAGAGAGAGCTCCAGCATCGTGAGGATAGTGGTGAAACGGCAGAGGAAGAAACTGTCCGAAGCTCTCCTTTGTAAAATCAAAACAGAGTAAATTGTCTGGCAGCACTGCAGGATACTCTCCATCGTCTTGGTACACTATTTTTTCCTTGGCCATAAAGTAAGTGTTTCCTTTCAAAGAGGCACCGCGTTGATAAGGCATATCAAAGTTGGGAGTGATATCATCAAGAACCCTCCATGAATTAGAGCTTAAATCATAGATTTCGTGCCCAAAAATCCCGTCTATCTCATGATCATCCACAAACCTCAAGATTTTGTGTTTACCGTTGTTGTCGTATCCGATTGCATAGCTGTCAAATCTGTCGTAAGCGCTTCGGGGTTGGATCCACCTGGTTTGACCCAAATAAGGGTTCCAAACCACGAGCTTGGTGTTGTCCCTTGTGGAGCATAACAATAACCCGTCGCATTGAAAAACTTTTGATACCTCCTCAGGAAAATCACCCAACTCCTTTATAGATGGATCCACGAATTCGCCTTCGTTGTCGAAGAGATCGAACCTCACTGAACAAAGCTTATACTTCTTCATCATGAACCCCACAAACCGATGCCTTGCTTCGGCTTTACATAGAATCCGAACTTTGGATAAAGCGTTCCATCCTTTGCAAGTGCATCTCACCGCTCCAAGACAAGTTATCGGAACCATAGACAATATCTTCCCTACCAAATTCCTTGGAAGATCAGAGATCGTCGTCATTGTCTCGAATAGAAAGAAATGAGGGTTTTCTAACTTCCCCACTCTTTTTGCAGCCCTTATAAAGACATACAAATATACGTATATGTAGGTTTCAAATACGGATGGGAACAAATTGTTGCTACTAACTAAATTAATAAGAGTCAACAGTTCTCCAAAAACAATCAACAAGAACAAAAATATGTGGTTTAATTATAATAATAATTCTCCCTATAATCTTCAAACAAAACCCTAGATCTAGGAGCTCATTTAGCAAGTTTTGACTCTAATTGCCTATTCTTTCACAATATCATGTGTAGTTTTTAACCCTTGTTTTATTGCCGGAGCTAGAAGTTGTATTGGCCCATTACCAAGCCCAATTGGGTGGATAATAATAAAAAAATTAATCATTCTTAATTTGCCTAATCACGTGTCACGGTTTTAATTATATTATGTCGAAGCAAAAGTATGATTCTTCTCTTCAACAACAAAACCTTAAGAAAATTACATAATTACCAAAGAAAAAAAAACAATTTTTTTTAGGGATTTTAATTAGTTCGGAAAAAAAAAGAGAAAAATTGGAGGCTCCTTTGGAACAACTAGTTTTTACAACAGTCGTCGTCGTCAAGCGGCGTCAGAGAAAGTCTCTCTCTCTGTGTTTAACTGAAAAAAATGCAATCTGGCGGCGATTTCAGCAATGGTTTCCATGGCGACCATCACCGCGAGCTCGAATTGGAAGACAAGCAAGTCCCCGGTCTCAGTTCTTTTGGCCGAGCCAAGAGGCGCAGTCACGCCGGAGCTCGTGACCCTAGAGGCGGTCTCGCCAATGTGCTTAGGGTTCCCGACCAGCTTGGCGAGCAGAAGTCACTGGAGACTTCAGAATCTCCTCCTCCGCCTTGTACTGACTTCGACGTTGCCTACTTTCATTCCTATGCTCACGTTGGGATTCACGAAGAGATGATCAAGGTACTCTTCTTCTTCTTCTTCTTCTTCTTCTTCCTTATCATTCGTCTTGTATGAGGTTATAATTTAGTCTTTGATTTTGGGGAGTATTTGGATTGTCTAGTCTATTTTTGAACTTGCTTCAATTGATGTTTTCAAAAACCATTACTGGGTTTGTATGTATGTAATTTCTTTTTCTTGAACCAAATTGGGGTTTACAGTTCGATATTTCTCTGTTGCTCAAAAAGAAAACCTCAATGTCTGCAGAATTTGGCTGACATTTTTTTCAGATATAACCATTTAGGATGTTCTTCTTTAAGCATTCATGTTTTTCCTGTAGTCTGATTTTCCCTGGGATTTCTCACTTCTTTCCGGAATGTTATTGGTTGATATAGGACCGGGCAAGGACAGAAACTTATAGGGAAGCCATAATGCAGCATCAGAGCTTAATTCAAGGCAAGGTAATACTCTCGTTGCTGTAAATTCTGAACTATGCTCGTAAATCTTCTCAATTGATATTTGAACAAGATTCAAATTGGGACCACTGTTTACTTTTTGCTTAGCTTGTGTTAATAACGTCGTAGTTTATTGTTTTGTTTGAAAGCCTAATGCTGCATTGAATGCTTGTAACAGGTCGTGGTGGACGTTGGCTGTGGAACAGGCATCCTTTCAATCTTCTGTGCTCAAGCAGGAGCAAAACGGGTATGAGTTAGTTATGTGTATACACAACTTTTATATTGATGTTGATGGTTGACATCAACATCTCTTGTTTACAAAAAGATATGAAACATTGTGAAGAATGTAGCTTGTATACAAAGGATATTAAGGTTGTTCTGTGTGTCTGCTGTCTTTATATTCCATAGACCACGGGGTAAACCAACACTGTTAATGTTTTCTTACAAAACTTCATTATGGTTACAGGTTTATGCTGTAGATGCAAGTGATATTGCTGTCCAGGTATTATTCCATTTACTTTTTTTTTTAGATTGCTCTTAATCTTCTTGCCCTTAGCTTCCACTTTCTGCATTTTCGTGAACTGATGAGATTGGCCATTTCTTATCATAAAATGGTTTGGGGGATCTTTTAATTTCACCAAAATATTTTTTCATAGGTTAAAATGTGAACTTAGAATCGAGAAGGAGTTTTTCGATATAATGTGTTGTATGTTACCTTTGGTGGGACTTGGGAGTATGTTCAGGGTATGATGACTGTTTGTCTTATTGTCTAAAGTGAGGCCCTAGCTTGAAATGTTCAAAGTTTAGTTGACCTAGGCTTCGTTTATATTATTTAGTTTTAATCTAAAATCTAAGTCACTGAGTTGCTTCATGGTTTGATTACCCTTGACTCAATTAAACCAATGAAGAAATTCCTGCAAATGTTTCTGATAGATTTGGCCCTGTGAAGCTAATCCAACTAAGAGAGAATTTATCACGAATCTGGTGCTGTAGCCTCTGCATGTGATTTTCATTTGGTTTTTGTTCCCCATCAAAATAAAATTGGTTTGTGAAATCTTAGTTTGGGCAAAGAATTCTAGTCACTCTTTTTTTTTGTTAACACTACCAGGCAAAGGAAGTTGTGAAAGCCAACGGTTTATCCGACAAGGTCATTGTCTTGCATGGGAGAGTGGAGGTAATATATTGTCTATGATAAATGCGGAGTTGGTCCTTCATGTTAGCGATATAAAATGAATGTAATGGAGTCTTTTCTTCTGCACCGCTATTGAGATAGATTGGTTGGGTGAAACATCCAAGTCCGTATGCAAGCCCTCCTCTTCTGTAGTAACTCTTCTTGTGTTGTAATGTTCTTCAGGACGTTGAAATCGACGAGGAGGTTGATGTTATAATTTCAGAGTGGATGGGTTACATGCTCTTGTATGAGGTTATTCCCTTATCTTGTATATAGATAATTTTCTGTTGATGACGAAATGATAATCTACCAAATTATTATTTTTCCTTAATCCTCCCTAATCTCTCATTCCCATACTATGTTTTTTGATGTGATTTAGAGCATGCTGGGAAGTGTTATTACAGCTAGAGATCGCTGGTTGAAGCCTGGAGGTTTAATTCTCCCATCACATGCAACAGTATGCTTATGATCCCTTTAAATATTATATCACAGTATGCTCAAATGATGACTTTGGGAAAGAAGGCAATATTTGATATGTTGCTGTTTACCGTCTGTTGACAGTTATACATGGCACCTGTTTCACACCCTGACAGATACAGTCACAGCATTGATTTTTGGCGCAATGTTTATGGAATCGATAGTAAGTATCAACTTGAACTTTGGAACAGTCATTGCATTAAATTTGATTGGTATACTGGTAGAACTGAAACTGAGTTATGATTTCTGCAATTTGATTTGGATTTGATGTGTTTAATAAGCTGGTTAAAAATTCAAGATATTAGCTTGCCATATTCCACATACTGATAGGCGGGGGAGTTTTGTCATTTCCTAGACAGATCAGATTAACAAAAGTAGGTTAATGTGATAGCATTTATTGCTTTGATAGTCCTGATCCTTTACTTCAGGAAGTAAACTTGTCGAATTACTTAGTCATAAGTCATAACTCATAAGGGTCAATTTAAATGTCGTTTCTCAGTTACCTTCACGTTGGGAAACTTCTACTCAAGAATCCAATAAATATTCAAGTTTTATAAAGTGCAAAAAGAAGCACCTCGCAATAAGGTTTCAGTAATGATATTTGATGTTGTTTGCAGTGTCTGCCATGATGCAATTAGCTAAACAGTGTGCGTTTGAAGAACCCAGCGTGGAGTCCATATCAGGCGAGAACGTTCTAACATGGCCAGAAGTGGTATTTCCTCGTTCTCTGAGTAGTCATTACCTCCAATCTCTTTGAGCTCTCAGCTATGCTAATTGTGCATACTGAGTGAAGATTTATCCTTTTTGTTACTAAGTAAATATTCAAAGTCCGGCGCACCCGCTATATTTATGTTAGAGCATTTGAAATGCAGGTTAAACATATAGACTGTAAAACTATAAAAATCCAAGAGCTAGACTCCGTTACTGCAAGATATAAATTCAACTCAATGATGAGAGGTATATCATTTTCTCTTTATCAACTATTAGTGTATTGTGTGCATCTTAGAGAGAAGTTAGCATTGCTTCCTTTCTGTGTTGAGGCTTTATCTTATCTTGTTGTAGCTCCTATGCATGGTTTTGCATTTTGGTTCGACGTTGAATTTAGCGGACCGGCCTCTTCGCCTGCCAAGAATACTAGTGAAACCAGTATTGCTAGTGGTTCTTCGTTGATAAGTCCTTCTGGAGAAGTAAATCAGAAGAAGCGGACTAATCCGAGTGATGCACTTGTGTTGTCCACCTCTCCCGAGTCTCCTCCAACGCATTGGCAGCAAGTAAGACCATGTTTTTGCATATACTTCCTGATTTCTTCAGCATTCTATCAATTTTACTTTTCAGTGAAGCATCTAAATTGGTAAAGATCAGAGGGAGTTGGTCTTATATTAAGAAGATCAATGAAATTATATCGAATTCTGCTTCTGCTTATATAATCGAGCAAGTAGCTTTACACTTTCTGACAATTTGATGTTCAACCACTTTTTTGGACAGACAATTGTATATTTCTATGACCCTATAGACGTAGAGCAAGACCAAGTCATTGAAGGGTCTGTGACACTTTCTCAAAGCAAAGAGAACCGGAGATTCATGAACATCCACCTCGAATATTCGTTAGTAGCCAAGACACTCTTTCACCCTTTTCAATTTTTCTAATTTCCACAGTGCTTATATTGCGGTTTTTGCAGCTCGGCCGGCCGTTCCTTTGTAAAAGAGTCAGTAATGCGTTAAGGAGGCGATTCTCTGACAATCTCTCCTTACCTTAGAAGTCCTGTAAGGTGTAGTCTCTTCTGCTAAAGCAATTATTAGTCCAGAAATTGCAGAACCAACAATTGAAGACGTTGACAAACACAAACTATTTTTAGTCTGCGAAAACACCAGTTCTTGTAAGATTATTTAGGTTTTAGATCAGATGGAAGCAATTTTAGGACATTGTTCTTGACGCTATTCTTAGCTTGTTACTAGCCAAACCACTCAGCAGACACTTCACTTTGAGTGCTTATATATGTCATGCATATTTTATTGGTAATTTGTATAACCTAATTCATCAAGATCAATTTATTCAATTTAGTGTTGTTTTAAATAGTTTTTTGCTATTTTTTTGTTGGTCGGATAATAGTTTTCTGCTATTTGATTATGAAGTTCTAGTGTAATTGGTTATGTTATTTATAAAAATAATTTTAAAATACTACATTTTTTTGTTATTGGAAATAAATTTGGATATTTTTTATCCTATTAAGAGTGTTTAATATGATTTTCAATTAAAAGGGTTGAGAAATTATGAGAAGTACCATTAGAAAGAAACTTGAGAAATACCGTTAAACTAAATTTTTGTTCGAGATATACTACTTTTTTGATAAATTTATTACAAAATTTAGATTTAGGAAGGATCTTAAAAGTGTATTAAGGCTACTAATTAATCATTTAGGGGCTCTTCATAAACTTTTAGGAGCCTAGATTTTGTAGTATTTTCAGGATTTTACTAATCATTTGGGACACACTCTCTCTCAAAGAAGAGAAGACAAAGTAAAACGGCTACATTACGAAAGTTCAAAGGTTATGTAATTTATACACATTTTCATGCATTATTTATAAAGATATCTTATGTTATGTAAACATGTATACAAGTTTATGTTATGTACGTAACCGGATTGAATGATTATATTCTAGAATTCTCGAAACTCTTTTCCCATTCATGGTGTGTGGAACTACGCGTAGTCGAATTATACAAGATTACAAGATATCTTTGGATTATAAAATGTTAGCAACTTTTAGGTGTAATAATTGTTCAATTATTGGTAAGTGGTGCATGTCTTATGTAATACCCAACTCTAATTTTTTCATGAGAATGCATGACCATTTAATTTAATTTATTATCCGTTCGACCGTGTGGTGCATAAGATATATATATTGTCTCTTTTTTGCTAAATTATTTGTAGTTGGTGTTGTCGTACTTGTATTACATGCTATAGCAATAGCCATCAAATATATAATTTTCTATAATCTCCATATCTTTAAAACTTTTGGGCACGCCCACAAATGTATGAATCACATAGCACCATTTCTTTTCGTAAAATACTTTCTTTCCACGATCTATAATAAATTATCCAATCAGATTGTATGTTAGTAAACATATCAAATCGTGTGTTAAATTGATTATGATTCAGATCATTTTATATCTCAAATCCTTTTTTTGTGTGCTGAATCTAAGTTTTACCTCAAGACCAACGATATTTCCATGCACAATGACTAAATCCTTATTGAATATACTTTTCAAATATCTGGTGAAATCCAATCCAGCTATGAGCAATATATTATTTTGGTGTAGTTCAAGAAGATTGGATGATGATACAAATATGCCAAAAAAGATGAGCTAAGAAACCATATAATCAATAGTTGCAACCAACATTTGCTTTCGAACTACTCTTGCACTACGTCCAATCTAAATATGTCTTATTTTGGCGTTAGTTCTAAGAAAATCAAAGATAATATTATCAATTTAATCATGTCTTTGGCTCATACGACGAACTTTGTCCTTGATTGTGAAATACTATGCAGTAGTGGCTTTCATCATATACCAATAGCCAGTCTTGTCTTACAACTGTATTTCTTATATCCATTATATAGAATTTCTATGTTAGCAATGAAGATTGAATATAAGAGTGTTTTAATTGTCGTTGTTGTGGATCGAATGCACTTTCGGCTATATTTCCACAGAGGTTTATCAACATTTGCTTAGGTGTACTTGCAATAGCCAGTACCGATCATCAGCTTTGTTTCAAGTCTTTGTGCTTTGTATAACATGGAATCAATACTTTTTCTAAAACATAGTTTGTCTAATTCGATGCACGTAGGGTTTGGGGTTTATCTCTACGTAACAGTTTTCTAATTTTGATAGTTTTTCTCTATATTTTTTTTGTTTGGTGAAAAATATGAGTTGGTGTTGATCAAAAAGGAAAAAAGAATACGGTTGGCAAAAATAATGCATTACATACGTATAACTAAATACTAATGTTCTCAAAGTTATTCTACCTGAAATTAGTTGAAGTAGAAAATATGTCAATAGCGTTATTATTGTGAACAATATTGAACAGTGAGTTATATATTGTAAGGTTATCACTATTACTAGGTGATCATTGCGGGTTTTTGCTAGTCTTTTTTAAAAAATTTATTTTATTTAATGTTGTCTTGATAAATGTAATTTTTAATCATCTAATCATTCATTTATGTAATCACCAACTACTCTTAGTATTTAAACAATGCATCACTCACATAATCCTATAACATGTTATTTTTTGATGTGAACATATAATTTATCAAAATTAACTATGGTTCAAAATCTTAAATTGAGACTTTAGTTTGTTTGATTAAACGTATCTTTATTTGATAAAGATATGTTCACATAAGAAAACAAAAACATGTTGTGGAAACAAAGATATATGTCATATCTATGTTTCCTAGAAACCATTTAGTACTATTTGATTATTTGATATAAAGTTCCATTGACAAATTTTGTAACTAAACTAGAAAACAAATTTTTGTTTGATATTTGTTTTCTCTGACTTTTCAAGCAATAGATAAAAGATATTTATGTCAAATTCTCTGCATCGTTGATTTCCAAGTTCCCAAGTATTTAGAACATTGCCAAAAACTTACAAGATCATTGACACGAGTTTCTTGTAGATAGATAAACGAAGATGATGATGTCTTCACCGAAAGGTCTTACACAAATACATGCTTCAGCATACTTCCCTCATGACTTACATATCCACTTTCGAAAGGCCACACCGCAAAAAAATTGTTGTACGAGTTCATAAGACACATTTCAAAACAAAACAAAAAAATTGGATACGATTTAAAATAGGGATAAAATATTTTATCTGAGTTGTTAATTTAACAGATTAAAATGAAAAGATCAAAGCTAAGTTAAACTAATCATGTAGAGACTTCTGTTTTGTGAAAATGCATTCTCTATCCATATTTGTATGGATTGAAGTATTGTTTGGGACGAATTTTCCGAATTTACCAAACAAGTCAACTGGAATGTATGTTTTCTATTTTTCGTGAATCAGTTTTTGTAGATTTTACGAAACTTTAAAAGTGGTTTGGCATGAGGACTGTTATACTTTCATATCATTTTTAATGCTCAAACGGGTTTCGCTTGGAATATCTTGCATGATGGAGTCTGACGAACAAACATGTAATGGATATGAGAACCATGTTACTAGCTAGCATTTGAGTAAAAGTTCAATATATCTCCTAAAAAGTTTTAGGAGAAGCAAACATGACACTTTGCATATATATATATACTCCAATTTTTTCCAATTTCTATGAATGATGGATGTATAATAGTATATATCAAGATAAAATGAAAGTTTATTAAGTGGATATAATGGAAGTATAACCTCGTATAATTTAGTTGTCCTAGAAATGGACAAGATTTTTAGATAATCTATATGTAACTCTCAAAGCCTCAAACCAAACAAGACTAGAAGAGAGTAGAGAAAGGATGTCGACGTGCAAAGAGAGATGACCCCACAAAAACACAAAGAAAATCCACGTAAGCAAAAATGATAGCAATAAGAGATATCGACCCATCACTTCCCAAATCACAAGTCTCAAATGGTCTCTCTCTCTCTCTCTATAAAATCTCACAAATAAATAAATCTAAAAAAATCCCAACTTTGAGAGAGGAGAAGAAGAAGAAGAAGCAAGACACCAAAAACTTGGTCTGACATCAAAACCCAAAATCCAAGAAGAAAGAGAGAGTCTTCACTTCACGCTCACACTTGCTTTGCCTTTGGCTTTGGCTCTGGCGTTGTAAACAATGCTCCTCCCTCTCTTCTTCTTCTTCTTCTTCCTCCTCCATCTCCATCTTTCTTCTTCCTCAATCTCCTTCCCTGATTTTCAAATCATCGACGTTTTACAACCTCCTCTCACCGTCACTGAAACTCTTCCCGATTTCAACAACACCCATTTCTCCGATGAATCCAATTCTAAATACACTCTTCGTCTTCTCCACCGCGACAGATTTCCCTCCGTCACTTACCGTAACCACCACCACCGTCTCCATGCTCGTATGCGTAGAGATACAGACAGAGTCTCCGCCATTCTCCGCCGCATTTCTGGGAAAGTTGTAGCTTCTTCCGATTCTAGATACGAGGTTAACGATTTTGGGTCCGATGTTGTTTCCGGTATGGATCAAGGAAGTGGTGAGTATTTCGTCAGAATCGGCGTCGGAAGTCCTCCGAGAGATCAGTACATGGTCATTGATTCCGGTAGCGATATGGTTTGGGTTCAATGTCAGCCTTGTAAGCTTTGTTACAAACAATCCGACCCGGTTTTTGACCCGGCTAAATCCGGGTCTTACACTGGAGTCTCTTGTGGCTCTTCCGTCTGTGACCGGATTGAAAACTCCGGTTGTCACTCCGGTGGGTGCCGTTACGAGGTCATGTACGGAGACGGGTCTTACACTAAGGGAACATTAGCTCTTGAAACGCTGACGTTTGCTAAGACGGTGGTTAGAAACGTTGCAATGGGATGTGGTCACCGGAACAGAGGAATGTTTATCGGAGCTGCTGGTTTATTGGGTATTGGAGGCGGTTCAATGTCGTTTGTGGGTCAATTGAGCGGTCAAACCGGCGGTGCGTTCGGTTATTGTTTAGTGAGTCGAGGCACTGACTCGACCGGTTCATTGGTATTCGGGCGGGAAGCTTTGCCCGTTGGTGCCTCGTGGGTACCGTTGGTCCGGAACCCACGGGCTCCGAGTTTTTACTATGTTGGGCTCAAGGGCCTCGGGGTCGGAGGCGTCCGGATTCCGTTACCGGATGGTGTCTTTGACCTGACTGAAACCGGTGACGGCGGCGTGGTTATGGATACCGGAACCGCCGTCACAAGGCTTCCCACGGCGGCTTATGCCGCATTTCGAGATGGATTCAAGTCGCAGACAGCGAATTTGCCGCGGGCTTCCGGTGTATCGATATTCGACACGTGTTATGATCTGTCAGGGTTTGTTTCGGTACGAGTCCCGACCGTGTCGTTCTATTTCACGGAAGGTCCGGTTTTGACATTACCGGCGAAGAATTTTCTGATGCCGGTGGATGATTCGGGGACATATTGTTTTGCGTTTGCGGCGTCTCCGACGGGTTTGTCGATAATAGGGAACATACAACAAGAAGGGATTCAAGTATCTTTCGACGGAGCCAATGGCTTTGTTGGGTTTGGCCCCAACGTTTGCTAGCGGTTAAAAATAGAGAGATATTACGATTTTTGTTTGCTAGTAAGTAAAAAACTTTTGTCTCAAAACTATATATGTATTTGTCTTTTTTCTTTTTATTAGTTTGGTTTGAGTTCTAATAAATCTGATTAGTATAGAGAGATTACAAAAATGTATATGTTTTGACCAAATTTGTCTTTTGATTTCTGATTGGTTTAGAATCTATTATTTTGTTTCACTGTTTGATTTGTGGTATAAAATGAAGTGAAACACCTTTTAGAGCACCAAGTCAAAAAGTACTACACAGAGAAAAGGTTAAAAAATTGGCAACACTTTGTGGTGAAGCGTGAGGACATTGGGGAGTGAACCTTTTCTATTTTACCGATGTTCACATTAACAGTAACTTAAGTTTTACTAATTACTTAATTAGCATCACATGCTCCGAGGTTTTTCCAAGCTTAGTAATATTTCTTTTAGGGACATTTACAAGTATAAAACTCCACACCTAAATTGATAGGAAAGGTTCCAAAACGCTTTCAAATTTCGTGAGTGTGAATTTTTACATAAGCTGATATGTTTTAACTCAAAAAGTTTGTGATGGATGGAAGAAGCAGGCCTGCCTTACGGGCACATTATCTCGTGCCAGTCTTTAAGCTTTGTACATATTGAGTACCTGAGCGAGAAAGACCCACAAAAGCTGGAAATTTTATTATTGAAAAAGTGATATGAATGAATCATTTAAAGCAAACTTAATAATCTCTTGTCACCATCGTGAATCACTTGGGCTATACACCTCTTCAATTCATCACTTCCCCGTGATACTTTTTCTATTTTTCCAAGTCCCATTTTCACTTTTTGTGTCAAAATATTGAAATATCCTGAAGTGGGTTTCATGATAACTACAACAGACTCGAAACCAAGGACCCAAATTTAGTTGAATCATGGATGAAAAAGCCCAGAATTGTACCTTTAACATTGTCAGAATAATTTCTCTTTTCCTTTTTATTTTTAATGATATTTACTTAGCCGTTGCATACCTTGAAAACTTAACAAACACAGTCAATTCTTTTCACACTGTAACTTGATAAAAAAAACAAGAGATCAAAATTAGCAGAGCACTAACCGACGAGAAGCACGTGCATTCATATACCAATGAATCAATTATCAACCTCTAGTGAAAAATTAAACCAACCTCTGGTGAAAAATGGAAAAAAGAGAAATGACTAAAGGGCAAAAGAAAAGAGAAAGAAAGTCATACATAAAAAAAAAGGGGTCCCATTGTCTTCTATGTTGTCCCCTTCATAGGGCATTTAATCAACAAAAAAGTTCAACCACTGTATAATTCTAATGATTCATCATCTTGAATCCCAAAGCTATTTCTTACACACAACCAAACTTTCACTTTCTTTGCAGTTTCCACTCATCTTTTCTTATTTGTGTATGTATCCCTATATCTATAACCTGGTTTCTCACTAATCAGTCACTTTGGTTTCTTCACTTATCTTCCACCTAAAATGCAGCGTTTTTTCCTAAACTGTGTTTAGGTTCTCGTTCATTTGTTCTAAACCGTCGACCTATGAGTGTATCTACCTCTTCAAGAAAAAAAGGGGTTCAGCATATTTGTCATCTTATATACCTTCCTCTAAACAGCTAGGTCTATCTATCCTAATCCGTAAAACCATACCTAGGCCGAGTCCATTTCTCCAATCATCGGCTTCAAACAATGCACCATGAAGGAACAAGCTATGTATATACAGTGGATCTCTCACCTAATCCACATTGCTGGAAGAAGTTAGCACAATACAAAGATTGACCAAAATTGTATGCTGGCCACACAAACTAATGTTTCCAGAACATACATGAGCCTACAAGCGGTAGACAATGCGTGGAATGGCATGATATAAGAGAGACATGGAAATACACAACAAACTCTTATGACAAAAAAGAAAAGGTTGAAACTTTTAAGCCATAGATCCTTTACATTTAAGGTCAAACTCCCACGTTGTATACATACCATGAACCGATTTTAGTTATTTACATATGGCCCGTTTCCAATCAATGCACACAAAAATGCATAGACTGGGTTCAAACCTCACAAAACCAAAACACGAAATCCTAGGATAGCCACAGTATTGGAAATTCATTACAAAAGCAGCTAGAGGTTTCTTCCTCATCAAAATTCTGGGCTTAATCTCCCATATATACTGTACTAAGCAACCTAGTTCAAGAGGCGATTAGAAGGCTACGCGTAGACCAGACAACGAGTAGTCTACAACATAAACAGATATTTGAGATCGTCTACTGTTAGACGTGTTGCAGAGCTTCCACCATGTTCTTCACCAAAGGCAGATGCAACCATTGTCCTTTTATCTTCCTGATAAAAAAATGGTAAATGATCTGTTAGGTTGGACAAAATTCATAAGCCTTCATAGTCCACCACAAAAACTCTATTTAATAATAAAATTACTGTAAAGATAAATCTGAATAGAAAACCAAGGGAACCCAAAACCCAGCCACAATGAGCAGATAGAGTTTAGAGAATACCTGAAGCGTCAAAATTCTATCCTCAACGGTGTCTTTTATAGTAATGCGAGTTACAGTAACTGGCCGAGTTTGTCCAATACGATGTGCACGATCAATCGCCTGATCTTCGGTAGTTGGATTCCACCAAAGATCCAAGAGAATAACATGACATGCAGCTACCATATTCAGCCCAAGGTTTCCAGCTTTTAGAGACATCAGCATCACCTTTACCTGTTAATAAACTTTGCGCTTTTAGAGAGCTTCAGGATCAATACTCCATGAACATTCCATGTTTCAGAGAAACAAATAGTAGATTGTTTTTGAAAACATATCTAAGATATTCACATCACTTACATCTGAATTTTTACTGAATTCTTTTACCGCCCTGTCTCTTGCTGCTAGACTCATTGTGCCATCTAATCTCCTGAATTCAATACCACTTTCAAGAATACGCAGCTCAACCAAGTCAAGCATACCAGTCCACTGAGAAAATATTATCGTTTTTACTGCCCCCTGGCTAGGTGAAGATGAGTGAAGACGCATTGGCTCTACAATGGTAACATCATCGTCATCATACGGCCCTGAGGAAGATGGCATTTGACCATGCTGAGCTGAGTTTGGAGTGTCTTGTTTGGAAAGCGACTGCAGGATATCGAGGACAGCTTTGATTTTTGATGAACAAAACTCCCTTTTTTCAAAAAACGATCTATCGAGACCTTTATCATGCGAGGAACTACAGCCTAAATCATCAGAAATGCAATTTCTAAGCGAAGATTCAGAGAAAACAACATCACGCGCAAGCTGTTGTTTGCATCTCGGTACAGGGCACGTGTTCTCATCCCCAGTTATGTATTCTAAAACACATTCATAGCAAAATACATGGCCACACAACGTAACAACAGGTTTTTCTGGTGGCTCCTGCGAATAAATATGAAAAAAAAAATTAAAAGTAAAGATGACAAGATCTAAGAACTAGAGAATAGTGAGCCTGAGGAAATGCTATTTCTAGGTCTCATTTACTCTGCACTTACATTGCACTCATAGCAGATGGCAGATGATGACTCTAAGCGATTGATCAGTCTGCTTTGAGCCTCCCTAGGGAGTCTTCTAACTGCTGCTTCTGATTCTTTTCCAACAGGATCTGACTTATATACTTTAACAAGTTGTGGGTGGTCACAAGCTTGGCGGAGTCGCAAAAGCATCAGAAGAATATTTGCGTAGTTTTGACTCAAAGTTCCCGCATCAGCATAGGCCTGCAGAGAAAATGAATTTATCATCCTATTGGGTACAGCTACTAGTTTGTGTTCTCTCACAGGAAGAAATAAAGACTAGCAAGAAACTCAGAAACATGGATCTCCAATAAAATTGCTGCATAACTACAAGGTCACATTTATTAAGCATTTAGTTGCTATAAATGTATCTTTTTTACCAAAAAAGTGCACATCAATTGTAAACCAAGTATGAACAGATACTTTGTGGAGGAAAAAATAGGAGAACCTTGAACTGTGAACGTGAATCCGCTTCAAGCTTCCTGTAGAAAGAGCGCTCTTCCACTGAAAAATCTACCGTGCTCAAATTAACTTTCTTTGGAGGTAGATTAATAATGGGTTTCCCATCAAGCAAAGTTCCTAGATAGCAGAACAGTAGATATTTAGCACAAACCATCAAGTGCAGCACAGTACGAACATAATAATAGGAGCAAAGTAAAAATCTACCATCAAACAGAAAAAGATCAAAATAAAAATGAACAGGAAAAATGTACAGAAGAGAAGACAAAATTGGTATTTCATTAACCATATGACCGGAGGACTAACTCAGGTGGCAGGTTCAATAAACTAACAGGTACTCTCATTATTGAGTACATTATAGATAAGCCGATAAAATCAGAAAGTGTCAAGATAACATAGATAATATTAATAGTAATCAGATTGCGAAGTCCTGGCGACATAAACAACTCAACCAATCATCAAAGAGAAGAAAGAGATGATCAGAGTACCTTTGGTGCGGCGCAGCATTATAGCCCTTAGAACAGCTTGAAGCTTCTTGTAACCTTGACAAGAATTTCTGGAAATTGGAACCTTGATTGTACTGTAAAATGACTTGTACGCCGCATATGGATCATATCTAAGAAACCTGAAATAGCTATATAAATCATCAATCGTATTTTGTATTGGTGTTCCAGACAAGCACCACCTCCTTTTGGCTCGAAGAGTGGAACAGGATCTTGCCACTTGTGTTCTATGGTTCTTTATTGTCTGAGCTTCATCTAGTACTATTCTGAACCACCCAACTTTTCCTAGAGCACCACAATCGGGCTCAGAAGAAGAATTGTCAGTGCTTTTTCTACCTCTTTTTTTACTCTTCTTACTGGCACCCACCGCGACTTTCCGCTTCTTATTGTTGGAGAAGCCAGAGGCAAGACCATATTCGTCAGTGCTTTTTTCATCGTTCTCATCCTCATCCACCAAGAATTTTTTGGGAGCTTCATTAGTAACAATAGCGTAAGTTGTCACAACCACATCGTATTCTGCTAATTCATTAGGATCTTTGGTCCTATTACTACCATGGTAGACTAACACAGAAAGTTTCCATTCTTCAGAAACCTTCTCATCAAGCTCTCTTGCCCACTGCCGTACAACACTCGCTGGGCAAACAATTAATGTACCAGCAGCTGGTCTCTTCCACTTAAATGCTGGTGTTGAAGAATTTGCTTCTTCATCTTTGGCTTTCTCCATATCTGAACTGTCATTCTCAT